TCATGTGTTATGTTGAGGTGTCATCCTCTTTTGTGATATGTTGGATTATGATGTTGTGGAGCTATGAAATATGATGGGGGCAATGAGCTACAACCATCTATTCTTTTTAATTCTTTCTTTTTATTTTTATTTATTTATCTCTCTTTATCACTTAATTATTTTAAAATTAAAAAATTAGAAGTATTAATAGGAGATGAAATTATTTTGGGTTATGGAGTGGTTAGCATTTCCTAGGTAAATAGTTTGAAAATCATTTCGTACAAATAAACGGGCTGATGAGTCATGTCTGGGTTGACGTTTCAAACAAGTTAATTAAAAAATTAGAAGTATTAATAGGAGATTGAAATTATTTTGGGTTATGGAGTGGTTAGCATTTCCTAGGTAAATAGTTTGAGAATCATTTCGTATAAATAAACGGGTTGATGAGTCGTGTCTGGGTTCACGTTTCAAACAAGTTAACGTGTGATCTGTATAATTACATATTTAATTTATAGTTTTGGTCCCTATGCTTTAGGTAGATTCGTACTTTTGGTCAAATCTTTGGAAAATAGACAAGATGCATCCTCATGGTTTCCCAATCTTGCACTTTTGGTCCTTGATCCATATAAATAGACTACATTGCCCTTTCTATTTTTTTTTTCTATTTTCTATTACTCACTTTTAAAATTTGATATTACAAAAAATAAAAAACATCCACCATACCCACCCACCCCCACCCCAACCCAACCCAGTCATGTTCATTTTTCTCATCACCATCATAAACATCCCCAAAGCTTTAGCTGCCGCCGCTACTTCATCTCCCACCATCATCAATCAACACCACCACAAAAAAAATCGAAAGACATCTGTTTGAGTTCATCTACTCCATTTGGGTACAAGGAGATTCAGTAGCGATGATCATGGTTGATGATTTTCTCTAAGAGCATAATAAGACAAGGCACACATATTTTCTTTCCAATAAATACCTCCCCTCCTATCAACTCCTTTCCTTATCTCCTTCTGAAACCACCCATCACCATCCCTTTGCCTTTGATTCGTCACCTTCAGATCTCACATATCCTCATGCTTTGTTTGATTCATCACCTTCAAATCTCATAGATCCTTCGTCTCCATTTTCAGTGTCTCAACCTCTCTCCCTCCAGAGACCTATGTATATCTCATCTCCATCACCAATTTCTATCTTTAACCCTAGTAACATATTGATTATGACAAATGGCTAATTTACTCAAAATTACATCGTCTAAAATCTGAAACTAGCATATCCTTAACACTATATCAACCATCTTCTCCATCGTCGCCATCGTATTCTTCATCGTTGTTTCCCCCATCTAGGTGACTCCGCTGCTTCCTATAATAACGAACCCTTCATCTGCTCAACCACCATCAATCTCAAACATCTCCCAATACTACGATTCTATGTTGATTAGGAAGAAGAAGAAGGGAAAAAATAGAAAGAAAAAATATAGGGTAGAGTCGCACTCTTGTACATGGTGAAAGAAGAATGAAAAAGGAAGAAAAATAGTAGAGACGGTGAGGCTAGGGTGGAGGGTTAGGGGAGGTAGACCCAAAATATATTTTATATTCTTTAAAAAAATAAAAGAAAGTAGAATTTTTTTTTTTGAAAGGGTAGTATAGTCTATTTATATGGACCAATGACCAAAATTGCAAGATTGGAAAACCACAAGGATGCTTCTTGTCCATTTTCCAATGACTTGACAAAAAAATACGAATCTACATAAACCACAGGGACCAAAACTATAATTTACTCTAATTACGAAGATGGTGTTCAAGTTATTGTATTTTACCCGAGTGACAACCCAAACACGACATGATTGTCATTCCTAGTAGAGTGGTGCTTAAATGACATTGAAATTATCATTTTTTGCTTTATGAGATAAAGGTATACCTCATTGTCTTAGGCATTACAAGTGCTCGTATAGTTCCACATTAGTATTATCTAGCTTCCAACAAAAGAGGTGATATTTGTACATATGGTTTTTATTCATCCACAAAATAAATGTATTTTGACTTTTATATCTTCGTTATTATTTAAAATCGAACACCTTTACTTTAAATAAAAACACAGCTAAGAATCACACCTCCCCTTCAACAAAAGCTACAGCAGAAAGCAAGACGCGTGTGAAAAGACGCGCGTGGGTCATGGTTTTATAAAACCATAGGAACCGCAAGTCTCCCCGCAACTCGTGCGCTAGAATTTTATATGAATTATGGTACACCGACTCACTGGGCATGGCACGTGAGCACGTGACACCTTAATCCTGATTTATATTATTTTAATTATTAGTAAAAAATCCTTTTATTGTTTAAACAATATTAAATCCAAATCAAATTCTAAGAAATCCTCTCATGCTTTTGACCGGTAAAGATTCCCTTCTCGTCAGTCGTAACAATGTTTTTTTTAATACATTTGAGTTTCAATCATATATGGTTTTAACGTGCGTCACCTTGAAATCATATATTATGTTAATTTTAACTTAATTTAATAGCTTGTCGAGTTCTTTTATTTATATTTGACAAATAAATAGTTTTTACCGAATCATCAAAAAAATGTTTCAAAAAACAAGTTTTAAAGAATGTTTACAAAATAACGAGGAGCTTGTAGTTGAAATCTAGAAGTTTTGTAGTCGACGATGCGATATTGTCCTTAAGGCATTAATTTAAATATATTTAGATGGACACCTTGTAATTATTTGATAGATGATAATGTATTGAAAATTTAAACATTTTCCTATCTTTTGTTCTTAATAATCTTTCTATTCATATAAAATTAGGGCTGTAAACGAACCAAACGAACACGAACAAGATCTTGTTCATATTCGTTCGTTTAAGTTAGCTGAACAACAAACGAACACGAACGGATAAACGAACGAGATTTTCTTGTTCATGTTCGTTCGTTTAACAAATTATTTTGTTCATGTTCGTTCATTTATGTTCGTGAACATGCTAAACGAACATAAACGAACAAAGATAAAAAAACACAATTGAAAATATATGAACATAAACGAACATATAATATAGCAATATAATAAAAAATAATTGAATATAGATGAATATAAATAAATTTAAAAGAATGAACATAAACGAACGTAAATGAACATCATAAACGAACGTTCACGAACATAAATGAACGAACATGACCATTGTTCATGTTCGTTCATTTAACTAAACGAACGATAATTTTTGTTCATGTTCGTTCATTTATTAAGGGGCTGTTTGTTTTTTGTTTGAAGATTTATCGTTCGTTCATTTAACTAAACGAACGATAATTTTTGTTCATGTTCGTTCATTTATTAAGGGGCTGTTTGTTTTTTGTTTGAAGATCTGCGCAACCACTTTTGTCTGCGCCGCGCAGACAACGCGCAGACATATGCCCTCGCAGATTGTTTGTTTTTTGGAAGTGCGCAGATCGGAAAACGTCTGCACGAGGTCTTCCTGGTGCAGACATGGGCCACTGTCTTCAAAGGTCTTCAGATCTCATTTTAACCTTTAAAAAAAATAAAATAAAATAAAACATGGCCACCGTGCAGTTTTTTTTTTCTTTCATTTTTTTGTTAAAAATACATTTTTAATGTTTATAACATGAAATTAAGTTTAAAAATTCAATTTATTTTAACGGCCCGCAGACGTTAAAAACAAACAGTCTTCTTATTGCAGATTGCAGACATTTGGTCCACCTCTTCTGCCGCAGAGGCTTGCAGATGTGGTCCGCAGACTGCAGACATTTTGACTTCAAAAAAACAAACAGCACCTAAATAAACGAACATAAACGAACTTCCTGCAGAACAGTTCACGAACGGTTCGCCGAACGTTCAGTTCGTTTACAGCCCTATATAAAATCATTACACGAGGAATCCATTAAATCTCTTTCTTAATCTTCTCTCGATTTTAACAATTGTCTTCATTTTTATGAGTAGTAAGATTGGTATAACGAAAAAGTAAGACGATGCTGATTTCTATTGTAATTTTTGAGTTAAACCAACTCAACATACATTTATATAATCAATGAGATGGTTAACAAAAGAATTTTTTTATAGATTTCAAAATATATCTTTAATGTTTACTCCTTTAAGTTATCAACTTATTAAAAAAAATGGAGGTAATAAAACCAAAAGGAAGTAAAAAAAAAAAAAGTAAAATCTCCAATACCGCTGATGCATTCTATCTTCGACACATACACACACCACTTGCCTTTCCATTTTTGATTCACAAGAAGATAGATTTATCCGACTAGAATCAATCAGCAGCTTGAAGATTAGCTCTAATTCAATGTATGCCTCTCTCCAAACACCTTTACAGATTTACCCTTCTGTGTCGCCTCTATCCCTTTTTCTATTCTCTAGTATCACTTGTCTTTTACGATTGATTAATTTTGTTATCTCAATTAAGCTAGACATAAGACATTGTGAGTTTAAATAATGAATTCACCACAAATAAATGATTGTTGGAAGGTATGGATTTTATACGTATAGAATTGTTTGGAAAAAATATTTCTAAAATAACATAAAACTAAAAAAATTGAAACCTTTTAGTTTTGAAAAGTTATTGTACTATTTTTTTTATTTTTATAACAATAGAAAACTATATTAAAACTAAAAAAGAACCACCATAATATAAAAAAGTTTTTTAGGACAAAATTACAAAAATTATCCCTGTGGTTTGCTAAAAGTAACAAACTTAGTCCCTAAGTGTTTTTTTTGATGTGTTTGCCCCTTGTGGTTTGTAAAAGTTGCATTGGAGGTCTTTTTCATAGCTCCGTCAGTTTGTAGCCGTTTGGGGTCATTAATGTGGGGGTATATTCGTCTTTTTATGTTTGGTGCTCATTTAAGATGGGATGAGGCAGTGATACGTCATTAACCTATCCTCTATTAACCAGAGTCCAAGAAACCCCCTTCATCTCCACTTCACCTTAGCTTATTTATCATCTTGACGATCTTCATCCTTCATCCCTCGCATCCGATTTTAGGGTTTATTAACTAAAAATGGTATTGTGTATGTGGAATTTACATGGTCCTCATACAATTGCACCCGACCTTGATAAAGATTACAGTAAGTTGTTTAATTTTTTGTTGGGTGTTTCTTGGTGTGTATATTCAAAGCTCATCGGTTTTTCTTTTTCAAATGGTCATGAAAATATCTTCACTTTAAAGATACATCATGGTGGATTTTTTACAAAGTTCCCAGGAAGAAAGTACGTTGAGGAAAGGTTGGCATTCTTTGACTTCGTTGACACTGATCTTTTTTCAGTTCATGATCTAAATGACATGATTCGTGAGATAGGGTATTCTGCGGATGACACAATGTACTATCATTATAGAATTCCTAATCTAGACTTAGATTTTGGATTGAAGGCTCTAGGAAATGATCAAGATGTTATATCTATGGCTCAATATATCCCTCAAAACAGAGTGATTAATGTGTACGTTGAACATGGTTCTACAAGACTTCACACTTACTTCATGTCCCCGAGTAAAGTTGTTATTAAGCAATTAGATGATGATCCTTCTCCTGAACTTAATAGGATTAGGCCTAAGAATAAGGGAATTGGTTCTTGTCGCAAGAAATTAGACATGAATGTCCCACTTAAAGAATCAGCTAATCAAGCACAAATAGAAGATAGTGTGTATGATTTTTCCATGTCCCTAGTTCCTTTTGAGACAAACAAACAAGATGTGGTTAATGATTTTAAGGTTGATTCGTATTTCACTGTACCAAAAGAAACTGATACAATGCAAGATATTACAATTGATATTAATTGCCAAGATCATAGGGAAATATTAGATGATTTTGAGCCTTTTAATAGTGATGGATATCAGAATATGGGTGACTTTGAAAGAGAGGTTGAAGTTGAAGAATAACAGGATGAAGAAGATGAAAAAGGGCATGCAGAAGATTCAAAAGATGATTCAGAAGAGCATACAGAAGAAGAGGATGATTCTGACTACATTGTTGACCCAGAAGCTATTTTAGATGACTGGGAGGTTGATATGAGAGAGTTTACCAGTTGTGTGGATGAGGTTGAATGGTTTGGACAAGGACCAAACATAGAATTAAAATTAAACCAAGATGATGATTTATGTGTGATCAATAATGATGAGTTTGAAGATGCAGGATATGAGGAAGACCTAAGGAAGAGAATGTTAAAAAACTTGAACAAGAAGGTGCCTTGTTCTTATGGGGTAGTTCATGTTACACCATTTTTTGTGGGTCAAGCTTTCAAAACCAAAAACGATATACAGAGCCACATAAAGATGATTTCAATAAAAACAAGGAGGGCCCTACACATGGCCAAAAATGAAAAACTGAGAGTTAGAGTAAAGTGTAAAGGGGTGGTTCCAGATTCCACTGATGGTGGGCCCTCCACTGTAAGTAAAGTCACATAGAAGGGCAAAACAATCATTTCACGAAAAGATTCTTGTCCTTTTGCTATTCAAATATCTAAATCTACAGAAGAAGAACAATGGTTGGTGAAGATAGTTACTGATGAGCATTTATGCTTACAAAGTAAAAAAAGTGAAGGCATGTACATCTAGATACCTGGCAAGCACTATTCTCCAAAAAGTGGATTCCAACCCTTGCATCCCAGTAACATCCTTCAGGAGGAGCTTCAAATGGATTGAGAATTAAGCATATCAAGAATGAAGGTGTTCAAGGCTAAATCAATTGCAAAAGAACAATTGTATGGTGACTACGAAAGGCAATACAATTTGCTGAGAGATTATTGTTTGTAGTTACAAACCAACAACCCTAGTACAATAGTGAAGCGGGAAGTGTGTAATGAACCAAATCTTGATATTCAAACTCGTATTTTCAAGAGGATTTACATTTGTCTTGGAGCATTTAAGTTGGGGTTCAAATCTGGAAAAAGGGAATTACTGGGATTGGATGGATGTTTCTTGAAAGGACCACACCCAGGACAAATTCTAACAGTTGTGGGTCTTGATTCCAACAATGGAATATATCCACTAGCTTATTCAGTTGTGGAAGCTGAGATAACAAGTTCATATACATGGTTTTTGAAATGCCTTGGTGGTGATTTGGATTTGGATGCATCATGCAACTTCACTTTTGTATCTGACAGACAAAAGGTATGAATACATATAACATAAGTCTCTAAAAAAAGTTGTAACAATACTAACTATTAATTACATTATATGTATGGAATAATACTTGCAATAGCAAAAGTGTTTACAAATGCAGAGCATAGATGGTGTTTGAGACATATACATGAAAACATGAAGCTGCAATGGAGGGAAGAAGAGTTTAGAGATCATTTGTGGAGGTGTGCTACAAATATAACCATTAGGCATTTTGAAAGGGCAATGAATGAGTTCAAAGATTTCAGTGAGGAGGCTCATGAACGGCTAAGTAAGATTCCTCCAGTCCATTGGGGAAGGTCTCATTTTTCAGGTAGAGCACATTCAGATTGTCTGCTAAACAATCTGTGTGAAGTATTCAACTCTAAGCTAGAGCATGGCAGGGACAAGCCTATCATTACCTGTTTAGAGTACATTAGAGTGTACTTGATGAAGAGACATTGCATTGTACAAAAGGAAATTGATAAATGCAAAAGTATATTAACCCCTACAACAACTACTTTACTTGACACAATCAAAACAGTTGCAAGCAAATACAAGGCACTCTTCTGTGCTGATGGAACATATCAAGTGACTGGTATGATGTTTGATCAATATGTAGTAAACTTGAAAGAGGGGACATGTAGTTGTAGGTATTGGGAGATAACAGGGATAGTCTGCAGGCATGGAGTTTGTGCAATATGGGAACATATTCAAAATGGTGAAAAAGCCCAACAACCTGAATATTAGGTGCATCCCTGTTATAAGTTAGAAACATGGAGGGCAATGTACTCTAACAAAATAAATCCAATCCATGGCAGGAGCATGTGGCCAAAATCTAGATGTCCAACCACTCTTATACCCCCTACACATCATACACAAGTAAGTTGAATATTACTTAACATATTTTCTTATTCATCCTGTTTTATGATTTCCTTAATATTTTTATAGGTTGGAAGGCCCATGAAAAAGAGGAGGAGGGCTATAAATGAGCCTACTAACCAGTCAACAAACCTATCAAGGAAATTCTTAACTGTTACTTGTTCTAAGAGTCATAATAAAGGACATAACTCTAGAACATGTAAGGAGCAAGGGGGGTCAAGTCAAAGAGCAGTGAATGGATCAAGTCAAGGTGGTGTGGGTGGATCAAGTCAAGGTGGTGTGGGTCGATCAAGTAAAGATGAAGTTGGTGTAACAAGTCAAGGTTCAGTGGGTGGATCAAGTGAAGCTGTAGTGGGTGGGTTAAGAGCAAAGAAGAGAGACAAGGGAAAAAAGTCTCAAGTGTAGAAAGTAGGACCTAAATGAAGTTGGATCATCAAGTGAAGCATGACTAATCAAGTTATTTGGCTACCTTTTGTTTAAGATTATAAACGTGTAATGATACTTTTGTTCAAACATGTTTAATCTAGATAATTACATCTGTTGCAACTACCTAAATTAGTGATGTAATTAAGTTGATACTAGCCATATGTCATGCTACATTTGTGGTTGTAATGATCAATATGGTGAACATTTCCAATAACTTATCATGTTTTGATCTTGTGTGTTTCTCATTCCAGTCCATTGTTTGACAAATTACCAAAACTCATTCCATTCCATTGTTTACTTATAGTGTTTTGATGTTGTGTTTTTCCCATTCCATTTCATTGTTTGATAAATGACCAAAACTCATTCCATTCCATTGTTTGTTAAATGAATGATCAATACTCATTCCATTCCATTGTTTACTTATAATGATTTAATCTTGTTTTTTTACTCATTCCATTCAAATGTTTGATAAATAGACAAAACTCTTTCCATTCCATGCCAACATTCTTGATCAATAACACAAAAACAGTGTTTTCTAATTATCATAATACAAAATACCATTAAACTGATTAACCAAAACCATACATTACATTAAGATTTTAATACATGATATCCCATCCCAAAATCAACTGGTTATATCCCATTCTAGTTCTATATACCCATCCAATATTACATATCCAAAATACATCCCAAAATACACCCCAAAATACACTTACCAAATACATCCCCAAATCCAACTCCTACTTAGTGCATACATATATAAATGAAAAAAAAACAAGATAGAAGAAGCATCCACTTCAGTTTCACAACATCTACATGAGCTTGACTCAACATCATTTGAACATTGTTCAGCTTCCTTAGCAAGCCAGGAATCACCTCCACAGCTCTATGGCACATCGGATCATCCACCCACCCAAGAAATGGACAACTTCGACCATATCGAGCACAAGACCAGAATCTCCTTCCTGGGTTGAGGTCCGTCCAAGATGTGTGACAACTCGAAATTTTCATTCGGTCAAACCCTAGCAGTTAATCACTTCATATTATAAGTCAAGTTCACTTTTACTTGTTTTTGGGAAAAATAAAGTTCGTTTGATTATTTTAATATTATTTTTAAACGAACGGGTGAAAGAAAGTGCCGTCTTGGGTTTTGAATTTTAAAAAACCACAAACACCTCGCGTCTTAGAAGTTCCCGGCCAAACTTTTATGTTTGGGTCGAAAAATCATCCAAAAATGTAAACTCATGCCTTAAGCATGAGTTTACTCCCCAAGACTAGTCATTCTTGTGTTTACTCCCCAAACACCAAAAGAGTAAACTCCAAAATATCCTTTCAAGTATCATCCAAGTTTTTATTCAAAATCTTCAATCTAGTAAGTGTTTATAGCCCTTTCAAGTTAGTATATCACTTAATCTAGTGATTGTACATTCTTTAATCCATCCATTTTGTGTTTTGATTAGTTTTTCCAAAAAACCAAGAGCACTAAGAACACACACTAGTGTTCTTGGACTTAAAGTTCATTTCAAGCTTCCACAATGTAAGTACTTCTATCCTAGAGTCATTTTAAGCTTGCTATACATGTTTATACCAAAGAAATGTCCCAAGAACACCAAGATAAACGTGTTCATGGTTTTGGGAGGTCCCAAAACCGTAAACACCAAGTATAGGGCCAAAATGGTCTGTTAAGGTGCCTAGATGTTTCACAATGCCTTAGGGACTTGTCTTGGTTCATCATTGAAGACTTTATCACACAAAAAGCACCAAAACCTTCCATTTTTATGTGTTTACGGTTTAGGGATGTCCCAAAACCGTAAATACCCCAAAAGGTGTGTAAATGTCCCATAGTTGTTCCTTAAGCCTAAATCTACCCTAGACTAGTGCCATGATTGAGCTAAGGACTTGAAAACCCCAAATACCATAAACTTAGGAGTTTAAGGTAGTAAACTCATGAGTTTAAGGTAGTAAACTCATGAAAAATGGTCCTTAGCCCGAAACTCCATTTAGGAGTGTTTTGATGCCACACAACACTTCCTAAGGCTAAATCATGAAGTAGGAATGCATGGAATAGCTTAGAAGACTTCAAATCAACAAATGGTCAAAAGGTTAGGAGTTTACGACCGTAAACTTAAGGGGTGTTGATCTTTAGGGAGTAAACTCATTTTAGGAGTGTTCCTTGAACCCCAAACACACTAGCCTTTCCCTACAACACTTAGATGTACTCCTTAGCACTTATAACACTTATACAAAGTGTTTGTCATGTCCTAGAGTGTCTTGACTTGTTTATTAGTTGTTTAAAGACTAATTGTTTATATACATATGTCCTCATATGTAATTAGGATCTTTGTGCGTGTCTAAGTCTTCACTTGACACCAAGCACTTATCCGACACTTCCTTCTGATCCACTCGCAACAGGTAAGTTCATACCCCTTAATCAATGTTTTAAATGTTTTTAAATACTTTATGGGGGGGGGGGGGATACAAGTAGAATCATGCTACTTATTATATCAATCACATGTGATTAATAAGCCGCATTCAAATGATTTACTACTCATTATCCGTTTTACCAAACAGTTTCCTTCAAATGTTGTTCATAAACACTTTATATGTTTAAAACTCCTTATTAAACTGTACATTTTACCCTGTATGTTTCATTTCAAACTCATTTACAATTGTGTTTCAAACAAATGCTTCCTTATACTTAAGCTGTTTTATCAAACCCATGCTTTCAAACCTTTTTATAGATTGACATCAAGTCAATCTTTTCTTAGATAATAAAACTTATTTTATGCTTTTAATTTATAAATTTCATGCCTATATATGTATAGTTATATAAGAAATGTTTAAAAGACTTAGGAAGGCTATCCACCCTATTTCCTTTTCGCGCTTGAGATGTGGTCTGGTGGGACATTGGGTATCCGTCCGAAGGTTGTTTAAATATTAGTTATATATCTTATGTACATATATAGTCATAAAGGTCCTTCCAGTTCATCCAATGCCCTTGGGTAGCAATGGTATACATCCATGTTCATACGTAACAGTTAAATTACTAGTAAGCTACCATATGGGTAGTTTAGGAAGATACTAGAACTATTACTAGAATGCGATATCATACAATGAGTCAGTTCATTCATGAGTCAATATATGCTAGATAGAGAGAGAACACACATTACAACTAGCACACGTAGAACATTACAGTATATTACTATACTATTACATAGATATGTTTACATGATTACATTTACATAGACACATCTAGAAATAGAACATATACAACTATACTAGAAGAAGAACATATACAACTATACTAGAAGAAGAACATATACAACTATACTAGAAGAAGAACATATACAACTTACTAGAAAGAGAACATATACAACGATACTAGAACGAGTAACAGTACATTACATATACATGAATACGTTGACAAGATTGTGATCCACTGTATCAGAGCATGCCTTAAATGTCATGGCCCGAGTTGTAGCCAAAGTCTCTTGGAAGGAGAGCGTGAGTTTGCGTATAGATCTATACTGGATTGACTATCCTACACCTTGTTGCTAGCTACAGCTGGACCTGCAGGTCTGCGGGTGCCAAACGTCATACCTTTTTACGACCTATATTGTCGTGTGACCTAGTAGATAGTATGGTACAATTAATCACATGATACCTTAATATAAATCCGGTTTAGGGTAGCTAGTACAACAGTAGTTCCTATAATACAACACTACAGTACTACATTAATTTACCCTTTACATATAGTTAGTGATCATTTCACTTAAACATTATTGTACAAACTATATTTTGTTAATGATAGTTACACTTGGGAAAATTACACATTTTTACAAGAAATGAACAGACAAAACAGTTAGGTCTTGGTAGAAGACTCCATTTTATAATAGTAGGAAATCATAGGGATTTCTAGGGTTTTTCAAACGTTTACAGTTGTTTTACAAACATTCTCATACTTACACGAACTTTCTTTCAAAACATTTTCCAGTCTTTCATTACATGTCAAACAAATACTTACATACAAATTAAGACACATTAATACTTATGATCTCACCAGCTTTAAAGTTGATACTCTCTTTCAAAATAACTTGTATCCTCAGGTCAACAGTAGACAGGTACCGATGCAAGGTTTAGAGAAGATGGAGCTCGTTCAAGACTCATCTTTCATTTTGATTATACTTTAGTGTCTATTATATTTGACAGAACACACTTGTATTAAAATTATATTACTAATGCAATGGATGATGTTGTTGCTTGTTTACTACTTTTCATTGTTGTGATACTGTACATGACGTCCTCCGCCCCAGAACGTTTCTGCCGTTCATGGTTTTGGGGTGTGACAAGATGTGACCCTCACAACAACACTTCCACACGTACATATCACCATTATTGGTAGAGAGGAGAGCTTCGATTTTTTAGAGATGGTTGCTTGATTT